ATAACCATGTGTAATTAGCTATTATTATAGTTATTAATTGTCTACTTGTTAATGTGAACATTTGAGCATACCCACTAGGTTCAAGATTATTCTTAGTTTTAATTTCATTAATTTCGTTTCAGTGTTTTCCTCCAAAGTTTGCTCGTTCAGTTTCACACCTAACTGATCGGGAGATTTATTTGGAGGACTCATGTGGACGGCGATGGATGGCAACAGTGTGCAACTATAATGGTTCACTTGCTATCCAACAGGGATGGGCAAAATTTTCAGCTGAGCATGATGTGAAAGTGGGTGAATTTTTTGTTTTCCATTATGTTCCGAATGATCAGCACTTCATTGTTCAAATATTCAGAATAAGTGGTTGTGAAAAGATCAATTTTGATAGTTACATTTGCAAAGGAAAACAAAATTAAAGGACTTAACAGGAAAAAACTATCAAAATGAAAGGACTTATCAGGAAAAACTCATCTATATGTAGTCGTTTCCTGATAAGTCCTTTCATTTTATTTTCCTTTGCAAATGTAATTATCAAAATTGATCTTTTCACAACCACTTGTTCTGAATATTTGAACAATATAGTGTTGATCATCCGGAGCAAAATGGAAAACCAAAAATTCACCCACTTTCACATCATGCTCAGCTGAAAATTTGGTCCATCCCTATCTAATAGCAAGTGAACCATTATAGTTGCACATTATTGCCATCCATCGTCGTCCACATGAGTCCTCCAAATAAATCTCCCGATCAGTTAGGTGTGGAACTGAACGAGCAAACTTTTGAGGAAAACACTGAAAAGAAATTAATGAAATTAAAACTAAGAATGATCTTGAACCTAGTGGGTATGCTCAAATGTTCACATTAACAAGTAGACAATTAATAACTATAATAATAGTTAAATACACATATGGTTATCAAAACCAAATATACATTTAAACAAGTACTTTAAACTATGTAGGAAAAATAAGTGTACCCAAAGAATCACACTTTACCAGAACTTCTAGGAAAGTTTCTACAATCATTACTTTAAAGAAAGAAAAAACTTTCTTTCCTTAATCAACAAGCGGTCTTTCTTGCACTCATCATAGTATGCTTCCATCTTCTCACTGTGCAGAATTTTTTACCCCATCAACTTCTAAATCCTAGAAAGGATATGAAAGTATTAATAAGAAATTTAAGTTTAGAAAAATAATAATAATAAAAACAACATATTAAATAGTTGATCAAAGTATATTAAGATGTCAAAAATAAATGCAGCAACGGGGGGGATCACAATACCATACAACAATAACTTATATTAAGGCTAATCTCCAAGGAATCACCAGAAAAAGAAAAGTTTGTGTAGTTCTCCTTTCTTCAATTGAAAATTGTGTGTTATCAAACATGATCTACATTTATCAATCAAAGAAAAAACAGTAAATGTTATCAATCGAATCGATGTGTTGATGCAACCATGATCCATTCATGTTTCAGCACTCAAAGAAGTTATTAACATTAAAAAAAAATTACATAACCCTATTTTTCAACAGTTGAGAGCTAGAATAAACACAAATCTGACAATACATGAAACTAGCGATTATAAGATGAAAGTTTCCCTTGTGGCAATACTAGTACATAACTTCTTTCCCTAATCTGAGGTTTTCTTCCATGAAATGAATATGGGTGACTCTTGGATGAGGGTAGGGGTGTACATGGATTGGGTTGGTTTGACTTTTTCCTTTATCAAAAGGATCGAATTTTTATACTTATAAATCAAAACACAACCAATATAGCCGGGTTATTTAACTTCAAATTTTTTGAGTTTTTTTTTAGTTCTTCGGGTTTAATTTTCGGCCTTTTCTTTGATAACTCATGAGAAGAAAATGGATTCTCCTTTCCTAGCCATAGATGAAGTTGATTTTTATGAAACGAAACTATTTTAACCTGCTAGCTTGCTTTTCAATTTCTTAGAAACTACTAATTAATAAAGCAGTGTTCAAAAAGAGTACTAGTTAAATGTCTAAAAAGTTGGTAAGAGTACAACAAAATCACAATTTGATCATAGTCAACATCATTTTAAGAAAAGACATCTAAAATTCAGAATCTACAAAAAGTGTTAACTTCTCTATGTCATGAATCTCCAAGTTTTCATCAATCGTGTGCATTAAAGCAAGAACCCATTGAGAAAAATGATTAATAAGAGATCACGGAGTATAAACGCACCACAATAATTAACGACAATGGTGCAGTATTATTGAAGGTTAGATTACACATAATTAAAATGTACAAATAGTTACAAGGCTATTTGCATTGCCTATGATTTTAAAAGTATATTATATTCAGAAGTTTCTATTAGTGTGATCTTAAGTACACAAGATAAGAACTTCCTTAATCAGGTTCATCACCCGTTTTCTTTAACTATAACTAACTTCGACTAATTGAACATCTGGAAAAAGCCAATCAGGTGAAGCAACAAAGTAGGAAGTTGAATTATGAATGGAAAGAAAAGAATTGAGGTAGCAAAGTAGCAAAATTCGTCAATCAATTGAGATCAAATAATCGGATATCTACTAGACGAAGCTTTCCACCAACTCAAGATATTGAAATACTTGATCTTCACTACATAGTTTGTCAACTATGACAGATTGGTTTTTCAATATTTTACTCATTTTTATATGTTTCTCCCACTGAGATTGCAATAAATCACCAAATTCACCCATCACACTATTGTCATCTTCAATATTGTCATTAGAATTTTCAGAGCAAGAATTCGTTATAGTGACTATATAAGAGCTTTAAATTATCGTACATCTATAGATTTTAGTTTCCCAACAAAGAACCATATACCATGAAAAAAATATAGCTACAACAGCAACAATTAGTAACATATTCATACACTCAAATTTACCCCAACATTTATCCATCTCAAATTTAATATTTTTTTTGTCATATCGATCAATCAAAATTAGATAATCATATTTGGTATATTTTATAATATCATTTTGAAAAAAAGTATAAAGAAACTTCGCAAAAGCTCTTACATCCTTCAAATCACATGCTGATGAAATTTTGCTCGTTGTAGTTGTTTCTCGATAATACTCTTGGTAATGTTAATCATCCCCATACATTTTTGTAAAAACTTTTTCAAATTTCAAAGTTTTATCTAATATTGTATATGTTGAGTTTATCTAGTTTCAACATCAAGACTCACAAAATCGCGAGCGTCTATCCTAACTTTCTCAACAAATGATTTGGAAGAAGCAAACGACCTCACATATTTCACTGCAATTCATATACGAGAAAATGGGTCAATTTGCTACTCTAACTCCTTTTTCACAATTAAGTTCAACATATGAGCATTATCTAACATGTAAAAATTCATTTTCAATTTCCAATCTTCAATATGCACCTTCAATTTTTTAATGGCAGCATCATTTGCAGTTGCATTATCCAGAGTTATGGTGAACAAGTTCTCAATGCCCCAACCTAATAAGCATTCATCAATCCCCTTAGCAATACTGTGGTCAATTTTCTTTAAAAAAAAAAACAAATTAAAATTTTCTTTTGTAGATTTCACCGGTCATCAATGCAATGTTCAGTGACAACCATATAAATAAAATTATGGAGTGATTGATGTACACATATATGTTGGTTCCTAATAAGCTCTTTAAACTTTTCTTTCTCTTTTTGAGAAATCCTTAAACCAGGTCTAGCAACAGTAATACGAGAAGGTAAGACTTTAGCCATTTATTAATTAAATATTTCTCCCTCAACAACTCTAAGCGGTTGCTCATCAATGATTACAAATTCATTAGTTGTTCTCCTGATCTCTTCCACATTGTACCTCACCAGTTTTAGTAGATCCTGGACTATCTTCTTCCAAGCTTCTTTTGATAGATTTTAATGTGGTTTTCCACTTATCAACACACCTAAATGCTAGAGATTTGTGACATTTCACATTAAATATGTTCATAAAGTAGCTAATATGTTCTTTTTAGTTGGGCTATGTCGATGACGAGTGACTTTGTTCATGGGTTGTTGAGATATCGTTAGCATAGTCGGAAGAATGTTGATAATCATCTCCACATCTGGTCCACAAGATGTAGTTTTCATTCCAAAAGAGACTTATTGTGCATGATAAAATAAAGGCATTGTAATCAACTTTCTGATACACCAAATATTTTTTTTCAAAATACCAAAATCATGTATATTTTTTGATAAATTTAATCAAATAAATATTATCAGAAATTTTAAGAGCCCCTAAATCGAAATCCTTAAATATTTATAATAAATACAAAATCCCAACACAAATGAGATCAAACATCTGACCCTTCTCACCAGACAAAACATTAAGCATAAATGAAAAAAATAATAAGAAAAATTGAGTCTCAAAAAGATCACTCATGGCTATCCATAAATTGAACTCCAACCAATGAAATTAAACATTAGCAATAGAAGATGAGTTGGAAGCTACTTATCCAAATTCAGAAGAGTTGAACCAAACTTGAAACTGATTAGAGAGGAGCTAAATGAGGAGCTTAACTGCTTAAGATGTATCCTAATAAATTGAGAACGAGGAGCTCAAGAGGAACTGAAGTCAATAGTTTGTAACTTTGTATATAAATTAAGGGTAAACAACAGAAATACCACTAGTTTAGTATCTAATTACCTCATTTTTCTTCTGTTTTCATTATTACGAATCCTATCATAAATTAGACCTCAAATATATGTATTTGCTGCGGCCAGTTATATATAACACAAATAGTCATATACATATCATTTAATGTGTCTAATTAAGGGATATAAGTAAAAGCTGCTATTAATTAAGGAGAAAATTATGTTTATAACAACTTTTCAAGATATGGCATATCATTTCTTCTAAAATAAATAAAAACAATCACAATTCTTCTATGATAGATGACTAACAAAGTTCCTTTTCACTTCCTCTTTTCTTGTCTTGTTCAAATAATTCTTTCTCTTTTTTTGGAGTTTATAATTGTCTAATGGGGATGTTCAATTTTTAGGAATACAGACATAAAGCAACATTGGCATTTTATCATGACAACATGGTGGTGCTCAACGAACAAACATCCAAAAGCAGTGGAACAAAGATGAGATTAGTATTATATATGCTACTATTGCGTTTGTAATGGGTATTTAAAACTAGATACAAGAAATATAAAATAACATTATCATATACATGTCATTATATCGGATTTAATACATGATTCAATTTTTTCGAGACTGAAAAATACACAACATTAATTTCAGATATATATATATATATATATAAGATTTTCACAATCACGTTTAATCCTTCTCTCCTTCGTCTCTTTATCGCCGTCTCCAGCAAAAACGATTAGTTAATAGAGATACAACACACCGCCATAAATCTACCAAAAATAGACTTGAAAAAATCTGTTGAATCCATAGATTCGATGATAAAGAGTTTGTGGAGTCTTCAATGCTGAATGTGAATTGTTTGGCCAATCCATCGTTCAACTTCGGAAGTTTTCTTTGTAACAATTACTTCAATTGTAAAAAGGAATGGTACATATTAAGGTTTGGATTCAGGAAATTTTGATGGTCGTGGTGATATCTTGAGAAGAAGAAACTAGATTATTCATTGTTAGAATGAAACTGTATGGTAAAATTCTTGAATTAGAAAGGAGGAGAGATGATTGAGTGATAAATATGGGAGGGGAGAATTAAGAGGGAGTAGTTGATTTGGAGTGAAAGAGTAATTAATGAGATAATTCATCAATCCTAGTTTTAAAGGATCTGGGTATCTGATTGTATCTTCAATAATATATGATATAAAATATTTAAAGTGATAATATATGTAATTGTTTTAAAATAGAGGTAATGTTAGGGGAACTTTAATTTCGCATATAGCTATTCAAAAAAATAACTTAATTACGCTTCATAGCTATAGTTTGCTAATTATTTCCAAAACTAACCTTCCCCTTTCATGAAAAGTTGTGACTTTTATGAAGAGTTGCGACTTTTACGAAAGGTTGTGACGTTAAGGTTGTGACCTTTCCGAAGCGTTGTGACTTTTCCAAAGAGTTGTGACCTTTCCGATAAAGCACAATACGCATTTGTTCACACTACCCTTTGTTGTCTATAAATAGAAAAATTTCCTCTAATTCTAAAACAACGAAAATTTTAAACTTCTTCTTCTGCACAATTAAATATTTGTGTACTTTACTCATGTTGAGTTGCTTACTGACACCATTATTTTTGTATCAATACATTGGTGAGTAAAATTATTCCATCCCGAGAGGATCTAATTCTTTAAACCTCGGGTATTAGAGGGGAAAAGTTTTCTTAAGGGGACACTATCCATTCAGTGGACTCGATTATTTCCTTTTTATTTCATTCTATTGTTACATATCCTGATATATATTTTTACGGTCATTAATTTATGCTTATAATATTAATTTGTTGTTTTTTAGTACATGTTTTAAACACTATTGTTTATGTTTCTGCAAAGTTATTGTCTCCGGTTATATTGAACGTATACACATATAGTAGGCATATTCATTGTGCAGAAAATAATTATTGTACTCAGTCCAAGAATTTATGTTTTGATATTCTATATAAAATTCTATAACTTAAAAGTACTATATATAATTAAGCTTACATATTATCTATTTTTACATAGATATGAAATTTCTCACTTATCAATTGAGGAAATTCATTATGCAAGTTCAAAAGTTATAATTACTTTCACATTCAAGCGTAATTTCTTTTTTGAATCTGTTAACAATTTTTTAATTTTTTTCCTAGACATATATCACAATTGTATAATCTATGCAACTTAAATGTGTTCTTTTTTACCATATACCTTTGCATAAATATTCTTATGTTTTTCTTTATTTTCCTTTTGATGTTGATTAAAGAACCAATAATTTATTATTTCCCGAATAATTCATTCATTAGAGTTTCTTGAGTTATATAATAATGACAAATAATCAAATTAATGTTTGAATATTACTAATATTTTTTAAGAACCTATTTTTTCCATTATTTTTAATGTATGGATATTAGTAAATGATTATTTGCAAGTTCAATACAATTATTATTTATGACCACGCGCAGCGCGGATAAATTACCTAGTAATTTGTATAATTCGCATCTCATTTATATAATTCACGGGTACATTTGTATAATTTGCGTGTTTTTGTATAATTAATTATATAGTACGTCATAGATTATTATGATATATTTTTATAGTATTAATTTAATTTTGATTTGTAAGCCTCCTTTAAAATATGCATGATACAGTATCTATTATTATAATATTAATTATTTAACATTTCAAATTCTAAATTACTCAAAGCAATGAGTAACTCAATGTCAATTAAATTTGAACTTTACAGATGAACTAGGCTGAAACATCAACATTTCAGAAAATTGATGTGGAAATGCCCGTCACTATGATACTAATCAAAAAAACAATTGTGAGGCTTTCATATATATTACTCCCCATTTGTCTGGGTATAATATAAATGTAAAATAAATTAGTTTATTTTAAACTCACGCGGGGCGCGAAGCGGGGTGGAGCAGATTGAAACCAATAAATTCTCTCATGCAGGGCGGAGCGGGACGGATTGAACCCTTTGCAGGTTTATGCGGGTCACAACCGCCCCGCCCCCGCTCTGTTGCCATCCCTATTTATCACACGATTTAGAGGAGAAAATCATGTAGCCTCTGACTATAAGTGTGATGCACAACACACCCATAAGCAAAACTGTACTAGACACAACTTGCACACTCCTATCCCTAGAAAACGATGTTGCTTTGATACAAAACCATTCATGCCTCAACCTCTAAAGGCACGACCGACGCCTAGTGTCAAACTTCACCCCAAGAAGACCTAGCTAGACATGTAGGCTATCGGGCGTATACAAACCGAACTCAACAACCACAAATGGTCAGAACTCAAAACATAAAAGTCAAGGTTGGGAAAGCTATAATCATAGAATCCCGCAGCAACAACAATTTTAGCTAACCCAACAGTTCATAATAATAGCATATCAATTGCTATGCGGGCTGACAAGACCATTATAATATCTACAATAGCAAAATGATATAGACGACAAACATGACATGCTTAATAATAACACAGTAGTAATGCCAATACGTTCGACTGAGATGTACTATGACATGACCCAGCTCTGCAAGCCTCAAGAATATAGTATCTAGTCGGGAGTGGGCCCCGACCTACCCATCAACTATATATAATCACAGACTCTCAAACTCTAAACCTCGCAACTCTGAATGAAGTGGAACTTATTGATTAGCTAAACTCGGCAACATTACTAAAGAAGTCAGGCTACTAGTTTGTTAGTACCTGCAAGCATGAATGCAGAGCCTGTAGACAATAGAGCATTAATACGAAATAAATACCGAGTATGTAAGAAAATTGAATAAGTAATAATGATATGATAAAAGTACTATAAGTAATCAAATAGGGAGTCTAAAAATAGTCAGAACGTACTTACATGTTTTTGGCTTAAACCTCAGAAACCATATTCAGCTCAACAATCAATTCGGCCTAACTAGGCCAACTAATGTCATACAAATACAATACTAAAGGGAATCTTGCAAGGGAGTAAGAATAGTCACAGCAAAATCCAACAATTCATACATGGATCATACAACAGTAATTAAACAACAACTTACCAAGTCCCTATAAAATCGACAAGTACAAATAACAATTAATACACTTGCCCTATCCCCCATAAGCTCGACATGTACAAATCAATCTCTATACCCCTATTGGCAACAATTTTGCCCCATAAGCTTTGTGTAATTGACTAGCTCGTATAGTTGAGGATCTCGTCAGCTCTGTATAGTTGAGGACTCTTTCGGCTCTATACTACCCTTGTTGTATAACTATACAATCGAGCACAAAAGGCTCTATATGTCTGAGCACATAAGACTATCTATCCGAGCTCACAAGGCTCTATATTACCCTTGGGCAAACTACATATAACCTTGAAAACATGAACCATAACTCTGAAGGTAACCACAATCCCCCCCCCCCCCCCCCCCACCCATCCCAAA